GCTCCCTCCCGGGAGACGGAGGTCGCAGTGAGCCGAGACCGTGCCATTCTACTCTAGCCTGGGCGCTAAGAGTGAAACTTCGTCTCAAAAAAAAAAAAAAAAAACAAAAACCCTCACCCATCCATTAAAGATAGGAAATACTATGCTAAGAAGTGATCTCCAACTGAAATAAAACTGGCAATTTTTAAAGAAGAGAGGATTTCCTTAAGGTTGAAGAGTATTCCATTGTGTAACTAATACCAATTTTTTTTTTTTTTTTTTTTTGAGAGGGAGTCTCGCTCCGTCACCCAGGCTGGAGTGAAATGGTGCAATCTCAGCTCACTGCAACCTCCAACTCCCTGGTTCCAGCGATCCTCTTGCCTCAGCCTCCCAAGTAGCTGGGACTACAGGCGCCCACCACCACGCCTGGATAACTTTTTTGTATTTTTAGTAGAGACAGGGTTTCACCACGTTGGCCAGGCTGGTCTCAAACTCCTGGCCTCAAGTGATCCACCCGCCTTGGTCTCCTAAAGTGATGGGATTACAGGTGTGAGCCACCGTGCCCAGCCTACTATGTTTCCTTTTTGAGGCTTGGGGTCCCAATAATCTCGTAACCCAGGCAGTAGGCAGTGTACCCAACAGGCACCACATTTTCCATTCATCCAGTGGTGGTCACTTAGACTGCCTCTATCTTGGTAACTGTAAATAAAGCTGCACTGGCCAGGCACTGTGGCTCATGTTTCTGATCCCAGGACTTTGGGAAGCCAAGTCAGGAGGATCAGCTGAGCCCACAGGAGTTTCAGACCAGCCTCGGCAACATGGTGAAACCCTGTCTCTACAAAAAAATACAAAGATCAGCGAGGTGTGGTGGGAGGCTATAGTGGCAGGATTGCTCAAGTCTGGGAGGTCGAGGCTGCAATGAGCTATGATTGCCCCACCGTACTTCAGCCTGAGCCACAAAGTGAGACCCCGTTTCAAAAAACAGTATAGCCAGGTGGCGGCTCACGCCTGTAATTCCAACACATTGGGAGACCGAGGCGGTTTGATCACGCAATCAGGAGTTCAAGACCAGCCTGTCCAACATAGTGAAATCCCGTCTCTATTAAAATATAAAATTTAGCCAGGCACAGTGGCAGGTGCCTGTATAATCCCAGCTACTCAGGAGGCTGATGCAGGAGAATCGCTTGAACCCGGGAGGCGGATGAACTGAGATTGCGCCACCTCACTCCATCCTGCACGACAGAGTGAGACTCGTCTCAAACAAACAAAAAGTGTAAAATAAAGTTGTGGGGTAGAAAGTAGAGTTGTTTTAAATGCACTAGCTGGCTGGGTGCAGTGGCTCACGCCTGTAATCTCAACATTTTGGGAGGCCAAAGCGGGCAGATCACGAGGTCAGGACAGAGACCATCCCGGCTAACATGGTGAAACCCCATCTGTATTTAAAACACAAATAAAATCAGCCAGGCATGGTGGGACGTGCCTGTAATTCTGGCTACTCGGGAGGCTGAGGCAGGAGAATCGCTTGAACCCAGGAGGTAGAGGCTGCAGTGAGCCGAGATCATGCCACTGTACCCCCCAGCCTGGGTGACAGAGCAAGATCCTCTCTCAAGAGAGAAATGACCACAGTTCATGTGCATTTTACTGTAATTTTTACTTGTCTTTGCCCCCATTATTTTTGATCTGGGATTGGTTAAATCCACAGATATGTCAGGCCAACGGTACGATCCCTGAAAGGGATAGAAACAGGTTGAAAATAAGGACCAGGACAGACACCAGAGTTGATGAAGATCTAGCACCTGTGTTCAGAACAAGCCATCCCTCTCTAGCCTCAATGCCATTTCTTTTTTGAGACCGAGTTTTGCTCGTTGCCCAGGCTGCAGTGCAGTGGCGTGATCTCAGTTCACGGCAACCTCCACCTCCTGGGTTCAAGGGATTCTCCTGCCTCAGCCTCCCGAGTAGCTGGGATTGATTACACGTGTCTGCCACCACGCTCGGCTAATTTTTATATTTTTAGTAGAGATGCGATTTCACCATGTTGGTCAGGCTGGTTTCAAACTCCTGACCTCAGGTGATCCACCCAAGTCGGCCTCCCAAAGTGCTGGGATGACAGGCGTGAGCCAGTGCGCCTGGCCTTCTGAAAGTCCTGGAGAGGTCGTCTGCTTCCTCCTAGGACACAGTGTGGACTGATTCTGCTCACCTCTGAGTTCGTCCTTTGCTCTCTCAGACAGATCCACTCGGTGCATCTTTTCAAAGACCTGGATGGTTGCCAACTCCGTCCAGTAGCTGTGACAATGGCTGATGAGGATTTCTGCCAGTTGCTTCCCATCCGCCTCGTCTACCTCATTCTGGGGGATCTTCTGGACTTCATTTCCCAGGGAGACTGTCCTGAGCAGAGACTTGAACTTGCTCAGCTCATCCTGGCTGAGCTGCTCCAGGAGAGCCTGCAGGTTGAAGTTCACCTCGGTCGAAGACACCATCTTGTCCCACGTGGGAGTTCTGATGAGAATTAAGGGAGGAATGGAGAGGGATGTTGATCAGCACTCCTGTCTCAATGCCAGTCCCCTTGGTGCCATGAACAAGGGCACTCACACATTACCCTGCTTCTTCAAGAACAAACTCCCAGCCTGGGCAACACAGTGAGACCCCCACCTCCACAAAAAGTAAGTTAGCAGTGGCTGGTGGTGCATGCCTGTAGTCCCAGCAACTTAGGAGGCCGAGGTGGGAGGATTGCTTGAGTCTGGGAGATTGAAACTGCAGTGAGGCTTGATTGTGCCACTGCACTCCCATCTGGGCAAGAGTTAAACCTCATCTCGTTTTACTTTTATTTACTTATTTTTGAGACAGTTTCACTCTGCTGCCCAGGTTGGAGTTCAGTGGTGTGATCTCAGCTCACTGCAACCTCCGCCTCCCAGGTTCAAACAATTCTCCTGCCTCAGTCTTCCGAGTAGCTGGGATTATGGGCACCCACCACCACACTCAGCTACTTTATTTTTTTTTTTGAGACGGAGTGTCACTGTCACCCTGGCTGGAGTGCATTGCTACAATCTCAGCTCACTGCAACCTCCACCTCCCGGATTCAAGCAATTCTCCTGCCTCAGCCACCCGTGTAGCTGGGATTACAGGTGTTCACCACTATGCCCAGCTAATTTTTGTATTTTTAGTAGAGATGGGGTTTCACCAGGTTGGTCTCGAACTCCTGACCTCCTGATTCGCCCCTCTCGATGCCCAGCTAGTTTTTCGAATTGCAAAATAACCAGCTACTGTTAGAGTTTTCCCTGAGGGACTGCTCAGGCTCTAAAAGTTAGTCTATGAAGTAAAAACACTCTCTCATTACAACAAAGTAGTAACACAACAATGAAAGGACATGCATAGATCGGATGAGGAAGTGGAAAGCTATGTGGATCACCCAGGAGATAAGACACTTCATGAAAACTGGGGTGAATGTGAAAATGCAAACACACAGCCAGGCACGGTGGCTCATGCCTGTAATCCCAGCACTTTGGGAGCTGAGGCAGGTGGGTCATGAAGTCAGGAGATCAAGACCATCCTGGCTAAAACAGTGAAACCCCGTCTCTACTAAAAATACAAAAAATTAGCCGAGTGTGGTGGTGGGCACCTGTAGTCCCAGGAGGCAGAGCTTGCAGTGAGCTGAGATGGTGCCACTGCACTCCAGCCTGGGTGACAGAGTGAGACTTTGTCTCAAAAAAAAAAAAAAAGAAAATGCACACACATGGAGACCTCTCAGAAGTGATCCAGGACCTCACTTCGCCTTCTGGTCTTGCAGTGGCAAAGACAATGGTTTGTCAAGCATTTGAGGAGCAGTGGCCTCAGGCTAGGGCGGGGCAGCAAGGCTGGGGAAGAGAGGCCTCAGCAATTCACTGTGCCGGTGTGCTAGGGTTTGCTTTTTTGAGACAGAGTTCAAAAAACTCCCCAGGCTCGAGTATAATGGTGCAATCTCGGTTCTCTGTAACCTCCGCGTCCCAGGTTCAAGCGACTCTCCTGCCTCAGCCTCTTGAGTAGCTAGGATTGCAGGTATCGGCCACCACGCTAGGCTAATTTCTGTAATTTTAGTAGAGATGGGGTTTTGCCATGTTGGCCAGGCTGGTCTCGAACTCCTGACCTCAAGAGATCTGAACCACCTCAGCCCCGCAAGGTGTTGGGATCACAGGCATGAGCCACCGCATCTGGCCAACACTGTTTATTACTTAACCACTCTTTTTGGCTCTGGCCACTCCCCAGGTGGGCTGGATTCACACAGAATAAATAGAAAACAAAGAGCTAGTGAATGGACGTTACTTAAATGGAAGTAAAACGGCAAGTTTAATTAAAACAGGCCTGAGGCTGGGCCTGGTGGCTCATGCCTGTAATCCCAGCACTTTGGGAGGCTGAGGTGGGTAGATTGCCAGAGGTCAGGAGACTGTCAGGCCTCTGAGCCCAAGCTGAGCCATCGCATCCCCTGTGACTTGCACATATATACGCCCGCCCGGATGGCCTGAAGTAACTGAAGAATCACTAAAGAAGTGAAAATGCCCTGTCCCTGCCTTAACTGATGACATTCCACCACAAAAGTGCAAATGGCCAGTCCCTGCCTTAACTGATGACATTCCACTACAAAAGTAGTGCAAATAGCCGGTCTTTGCTTTAACTGATCACATTCCACCACAAAAGAAGTGCAAATAGCCAGTCCTTGCCTTAACTGATGACATTCCACCACAAAAGAAGTGAAAATAGCCAGTCCTCGCCTTAACTGATGACATTCCACCACAAAAGAAGTGAAAATGGCCGGTCCTTGCCTTAACTGATGACATTCCACCACAAAAGAAGTGAAAATGGCCGGTCCTTGCCTTAAGTGATGACATTACCTTGTGAAATTCCTTCTCCTGGCTCATCCTGGCTCAAAAAGCTCCCCCACTGAGCACCTTATGACCTCCACTCCTGCTGGCCAGAGAACAACCCGCCTTTGACTGGAATTTTCCTTTACCCACCCAAATCCTATAAAACGGCCCCACCCCTATCTCCCTTCACTGACAGACTCTTTTCGGACTCAGCCCGCCTGCACCCAGGTGATTAAAAAGCTTTATTGCTCACACAAAGCCTGTCTGGTGGTCTCTTCACATGGATGCGCATGACAGAGACCAGCCTGGCCAATATGATGAAACCCCGTCTCTACTAAAAGTACAAAAATTAGTCGGGTGTGGTGTCCCGGCTACTTGGGAGGCTGAGGCTGTGGTGAGCCACTGAACTCCAGCCTGGGGCAACAAGAGTGAAACTGTCTCAAAAAAAAAAAAAAAAAAAAAAATTAAGATAAGTTAGAGGTGGAGCCTGGTCTCAGGACACAGGTGTGTGGCTTTTACTTTACTGAAGCTGGCTGGGGGCCCGTGGCTCACACCTGTAACCCCAGCACTTTGCGAAGCCAAGGCGGGAGGATTGCTTGGAGTTTCAGACCAGCCTGGCCAACATGGCAAAACTCTGTCTCTACAAAAAAAGCAAACAAACAAACAAAAAAGCGCTGGGCATAGTGGCATGCACCTGTAGTCCCAGCTACTCAGGACGCTGAGGTGGGAGGATCACCTGAGCTAGGGAAGTTCAGGCTGCAGTGAGCTGTGATCGCACCACTGCACTCCAGCCTGGTAAAACAGAAACACAACACTGGGAGTGGTGGCTGAGGCTTGTAATCCCTGCACTTTGGGAAGCTGGGGTGGCTCACGCCTGTAATACCAGCACTTAGGGAGGCCGAAGTGGGAGGATCACCTGAGGTCTGGAGCTGGAGACCAGCCTGGCCAACATAGTGAAACCCTCTATCGACTAAAAATACGAAAACTAGCTGGACATGGTGACAGGCGGCTGTAGGCCCAGCTACTTAGGAGGCTGAGGTACGAGAATTGCTTGAACCTGGGAGGTGGAGGTTGCAGTGAGCTGAGGCAGCGCCATTGCACTCCAGCCTGGGAAAGAGCTACTTTGTCTCAACAACAACAACAAAATTATATATATAGCAGTAGCAACAAAAACTTTACAGACAGGGTGTAACACCTCTCTATATGCTAGCTGTGAATAACGTGAGAATGACAACTAACATAGGTATTTGCATAAGACTCAGGTCCAGAAGCTGGAATAGAATGAGGATAAGAGGCTCCACCACCTCAATGAATAGAAGACAATACCTTCTGTTAAGAGGACTCATTAGACACAACCTCAGCACCGCCCAGGACTCCACACACAGCAACCACAGCATCTGACCTGTTCCTTTTTTTATTTTTTGAGCTCTATTCTAAATCCCCCAAGAGAACAGAAATAAAAGCACACAAACTTATCCTCTTATGAACCAATGTAAACTAGAGACACTCTAGATCTAAGCACCTGCTACTCTTTCCCAAGTCAGAACCACTGAATTTTTTTTTTTTTTTTTTTTTTTTTTGAGACAGTTTCTCTCTTGCTGCCCAGGCCGGAGTGCAGTGGCATGACCTCGGATCCCCACAACCTCCACCTCCCGGGTTCAAGGGATTCTCCTGCCTCAGCCTGAGGAAAGAGAGACCCTCTCATATTGTTTTATACTCAGTACTTGTTTCAAGAAAAAAAACCAGGAGGTAAAACCAAAGACAGGCAGCCCGGCACCAAGCCCAGAACCAGGCCTGGGTCTGCCTGGCCTAAACCCAGTAGTTAAAAATCAACTCATGACTTAGAAACCGATGTTTCGAACGTTGTAGAGAACATTGTGATACTCCCTGCCCTGTTGTTTCTCTGACTACCAGTGCATGAAACCCCCGTCCCGTATCCCCCAGATTGCTTAATCACAACCCTTTCATATGAAATCTTTAGTGTTGTGAGCCCTTAAAAGGGACAGAAATTGTGCACTTGGAGAGCTCGGATTTTAAGGCAGTAGCTGGCTGATGCTCCCAGCTGAGTAAATCCCTTCCTGCTACAACTGGGTGTCTGAGAGGTTTGGTCTGTGGCTGGTCCTGCTATAAGCCTCCCGAGTAGCTGGGATTACAGGCATGCTCCACCATGCCCACCTCATTTTATACTTTTAGTGGAGACGGGGTTCCTACATGTTGGTCATCACCTCAGGTGATCTGCCCGCCTTGCCCTCCCAAAGCGCTGGTATTACAGGTGTGAGCCACTGAGACCGGCAGAACCACTGAACTCCTAACAGAAGACAAGATTTAGGCCCGAAACGGTGGCTCTTGCCTGTAATTCCAGCAGGTTGGGAGTCTGAGGCAGTAAGATCTCTGGAGCCCGGGAGTTAGAGACCAGCTTGGACAACATACTAACACCCTACATCTAGTGAGTCTCTACAAATAGTGATAATATTATTTAGCCATAACAGATGTGGTGGCACCCTCCCACGGTCCCAGCTACTTCAGAGGCTCAGGTGCGAGGATTGCTTGCGCCCAAGAGGTCAAGGCTTCAGTGAGCTGAGATCCTGCCACAGTGCTCCAGCCTGGGAAACAGAGTAAGACCCTCAAAAAAGAAAACAAACAAACAAAAAACAAAAGACAACTCCAGGTTCCAGCAAGAGAAGAAAAGCTATTCAATGTTTTCCAAGCATGGTGGCTCACGCCTGTAGTCCCAGCTACTCAGGAGGTTAAGGCATGAAAATCGCTTGAACCTGGGAAGTGTTCAAGCTTGAACCTGATTGCAGCACTGCGCTCCAGTCTGGCTGACGGGGCAAGACCGTCTCCCCGCCAAGAAAAAAAAAAGAAGGCCGGGCGCGGTGGCTCAAGCCTGTAATCCCAGCACTTTGGGAGGCCGAGACGGGCGGATCACGAGGTCAGGAGATCGAGACCATCCTGGTTAATACGGTGAAACCCCGTCTCTACTAAAAAGTACAAAAAACTAGCCGGGTGAGGTGGCGGGCGCCTGTAGTCCCAGCTACTCGGGAGGCTGAGGCAGGAGAATGGCGGGAACCCGGGAGGCGGAGTTTGCAGTGAGCCGAGATCTCCCCACTGCACCCCAGCCGGGGCGACACAGCGAGACTCTGTCTCAATTTAAAAAAAAAAGAGGAGAAATTTTACCAATTGTGGAATGAGAGAAATAAAGAAATGAAGTTGCAGAGTTGCTGGAGAGCTACTCACCTCCTAACACCTGGCCCCACTCCCCAGCGGCACTGAGGAATGGAGGCTGAGAAAGTTTAATAAAAAAGCTCCTCTCGGCCGCAGCCCTGTGATTGGCCCTCGGGGCGTAATCCCTGCTGAGCACTTCCTGTATCCGCCGGAATTACTGAGAGGTCGGGGGGCGGGGGTCAATGCCTGACCTGAGCTTCCGGATCTGCACCTGTGGTCCTCAATCTAGGCTGCCTGTTAAATTTACCTATCTGGGGCCTCATTTCAAAGCACGAACGCCCAGAGATGCTGGTTAATGAGTTAACTGCGGCTGCCCAGACCCTGGAGTTCTTTAAAGAGTCCCAGATAATTGTGATTACCGCTGAGAATCACCGCTTAGAAGCCTCAGCTGTGACTGGCTACCTTCTCCCACCACCCCAAGTATATTATTAATAAAAATCCAACCGCATTTCAAGTGAAATATCAATGACACGTCAACTACGAGACACATGAAAAGCACCAAGTTCATCGGTTTTACACTCACAGTATTATTATTATTTTTAATGGAGTCTTGTTTAGTTGCCCAGGCTGGAGTGCAATGGCGTGATCTCGGCTCCTTGCAACCTCCGCCTCCCGGGTTCGAGCGATTCTCCTGCCTCAGCCACCCGAGTAGCTGGGATTGCAGGCATGCGCCGCAACGCCTGGCTAATTTTTGAATTTTTTTTTTTTTTTAAACAGAGTCTCGCTCTGTCACCCAGGCTGGAGTGCAATGGCGCGATCTCGGCTCACTGCAAGCTCCGCCTCCCGGGTTCCCGCCATTCTCCTGCCTCAGACTCCCCAGTAGCTGGGACTATAGGCGGCCCCACCACGCCCTACTAATTTTTTTTTTTTTTTTGTATTTTTGGTAGAGACGGGGTTTCACCGTGTTAGCCAGGATGGTCTCGATCTCCTGACCTCGTGATCCACCCTCCTCGGCCTCCCAAAGTGCAGGGATTACAGGCTTGAGCCACCGTGCCGGGCCGAATTTTTTTTTGGTAGAGACGGGTTTTTGACATGCTGGCCAGGCTGGTCTCAAACTCCTGACCTCAGGTGATCCACCAGTCTCAGCCTCTTAAAGTGCTGGGATTACAGGTGTGACCCACTGTGCCTGGCTGGCAGTATTAATTTTGTAAACATCTAAATAAGACTAAAAAGTTGAGTTTTATAGCTTTTTTTCATTTTTTTTGTTTTGCTTTTTTTTTTTTTTTT